AAAGCTCAATAGGTTCTTTGTCACTACTGAGGTGTGCTTTTTGAGTTTAGACCCAGTTAATAGCATTCGTATGATTAGAAGTGCCCTTAAGACTACTTTAAGAAGTAGTAAATAAACTCCGTTTTGCCAACAGGATACGCGATTTGCGATCGCATTTTTACTACCCTTGGTTCCGCACAAGTTCGTAGAGGTGGAACATCGCTTTACAGAGGGTTTGAACTACGGTCTCTTCAACAGCTCACGACTGCACTTCAGCAGCATGCACGTGGTCATTCCCATGTTTCGCGTGCAAACGGAGGTGGACCTCTGTAAAGCTTTGCCCTTCCTGGGCATGAACAATCCATTCGACTCCGACCGGGCTGACTTTTCCGGTGAGGTCCCTTAATCCAAATCATGAGTTCATTATTTCTTCACAAAGACGAACATTCGTTTTGTTGGTTTGAAATTCGACTTTATAGTTTGCCATCTCCACTGCCAAATTTACGATTCCTGTATGGCAACATAGCACTGTTTCCTGCGCAATAGAAAGACGTTACTTAAGGAAGGAATAAAATGGGAGTCAACAAGGAAAAGCCGTTTTTTGCTAACTTGCTTCGATTCCCTGCTAAACCGTGTTATTAGTTCGTACGCCGAACCGTGACTTGTACTCTAAAGTTGTGTCCTTTGATGAGCTGTAGGATTATTTAGTGTAGCTAGAATTTTTGTTTCTTCAACTTATCATACCACCGAATGGAGTTGTTAATCCTAAGATATGCGGATTTTGAGACAATGCCGGTTTGGCAAGAGCATTGATGAGACTATACAAGAGTCAGAGGGCATAAAATGTGGGAATATTAATAGCAGATGCCTTAGCATGACTCCATTGGTAAAGAGGAAAGAGACGTTTTATTGCGCACTGCTAATATACAAAAACATTTCCGCTCTTTTGTATAAACATACCAAGAGTCCCACTTCACCTGCAAGACAATGGGTCATAAGGAAAGTTTCTCGGTTAGTGTAGCATGTCCATCGCCATGAGTCTACTCGTAACGTTCCAAATTCAAGTGAATAAAACACTCCTGATTGCCTTCAATCAATGATGTCTAAATAATTAGCTTTTAAATGATAATTAGTCAAAATTAGTTTCCTTGATTTAAGCCAAAGTGTTACCTTTGCCTTCCTATCAGGCATCAGCGACGTGGATAATCTCCATATCGACAGTGGAAAGGAGTCCGCCTATCTGCAGGTTTCCAGAAGCGGAATTCGGCTGTTCTCCGTAGGCACTCTCTGTCTGGGGACAGATCGCCATCAGTTTAGGCACCCTGATCTCTTTGAGGTACCAAACCTCGAGGAACCAGGGGAAATGGAAGCAAAGGACATACATTCCTTCGTAGTAAATCAGCCCTTTACTGTCATTCTCATTGATCGCGAGTCGGACTGCGTCCTATACCAAGCCAGAATCAAAGTGCCCGAGCCCGTTTCTGGTTCCAAATTGCCTGCCACAAACTGACGCTTTTTCCATTTCCCCTCTCCACTATTCTATTTTACTTAGTTCTCGATGCATTTTTAAATCATGCTTTTGGTTTTCTACAACAGATTTATTTTACACATGTTTGTTGTGTTACTAACTTTAGTGTCTAAATGTTGATGCTTAATTGACAATACGTGACGCATTTAACGGGGATTTCGCGGGCACCAAACAAAGCCATTTAAAATAAACACAAAGTTAAGTCTTCTTATTGTATTTATTTTGGCAGATTTTGTCTCAAGATATTATTACTTACGAGAAGATCAGAAGAATATTTGCCAACCATAACGACTACTTAAAGCACGTTTCATGCCTCATACCTTGTTCTCGTCTCTTTTTATTAGATTACAAGCAAACAGTGTTATTATTGTCAATTAAATCAAATTTTAAAGAGTAACGACGATGGTGGTGCCGGATGCATGTATTCATTAATATGTGACAAGAGAGAATAGATAAATGATTCAGATGAGTGTAATTTGATGTTTTTGTAACCCTTGCCAGAAACGCAAGAGATAGAAGCCTTGTATGCACATAAAACATTTTGAGAAGTCGGATGACGCATTCGGATGCGACTTGCTTTAACGCCTCTCAGCTTGCCATTGATGTTAAGCAGTACGTTCGGTTGTTTACAGGTATTTTTGTGACTTACAAAGCTGCATACCTACGCGTTTAACTGCATGCTGTTTGTAGTTTCTGAAAATTACAGTTTCTATGCTGCGCTGCGCTGTTATTCCATCAGCTTTTGGCATTAGTAAGACAAATAAAGGCAAATGCCGAATAAGGAGAAACATACAATACGATGATGAAAGAGTATTCAGAAGGTCAAGGTAAGGTTTAAGTAATCGAAATTGTGTTGAAGTTAACCTAAGATAAAAAAGGTCGCTTTTTTGGTCTAACTTCACTTGTAAAACAACATCTAATAAATGATGTTGTTTGGTGGAATCACTCGGGCAACGCAAAGCCTACGCTCAATT